GGGCCCTCGCAGAGACCCGCCTGAGGGGAGGAGCTGTCCTCCCCACTGAAACGGACGGGCTTCGGTCTGACATGACATTTTACTGTCACTTCATGATGCTTGCTGTGTCAATCACGGGCGGAATTCTATTTTCATCCTTTTATTGAAACGAGCGATACGCAGGTCCCAGACCAGCCTGTGCTGATCGAAGCGGGAAGTTCATTTTAGGCCCACACAGTCTGATGAGGCAAGCTCTTGTTGTTCTTTCTTGTTTTTTAGCACAACAGATGGCGGCTGTGCCCAAGCTAAGACTGCTGGTGCGGAGTCCCGACTCAGGGTCCCAGGCCTGTGTGCAGCCCCGGGCCGGTCATTGATCTTCTCTGAGGCTTGAGTTCTTTCCTGTGCAATGGGTAGAAAAAAGGGATAGCCGTCATTCCTCAGGGTGACCAGGACATGGGACAAGTGCTGGCTAGTCACCGTGTCTTCCCAGGCCAGCCCCGGCCCGCTCAGCCGCCCTCCCTCACCACCTGGGAAACCAGCCCATCCCTCTGCAGCAGCAGGAGGCCATGAATGAGTTCCAAATTTGCTCCCACTGTGGGCCGCGGAGAAGCGGCTTGGCTGGGAACCGAAGACCAGGTTAGGAGGACTCTATTAATGCTTCTCTGGAGAGAGAAAACCTGAAGTGGAGGATGGGTCGGAAACAAGAACTCCTCCATGACTCCAGCCTGCCTTCCCCGCCCGTGGCAGGACTTGTCAGGGCGATCCATGATCCACAGAAGCCCTGAGAGACCCTTACTGATCCCCGGAGCCTCGCTCAGCCCTGTCTCCCCCTCATCCATCATTCGCAAAGATTTCCGAAGAATGAACATCTCAAGCTTGCTGTCACAACGTTTTAAAATGTTGCAGTAATTAAAAACCAACAGTAATTTCTCTTCAGACAAGGCTGTCTTTTCAGAGCAGAGCAGTGGAAACCCCGCACGCAGCACGGGGGGCCGCCGCTCCCGCGCACACCCCCAATGCCCGCCCTCGCACGTTTGCGTGGTCACCCTCTCGCTCGCTCTTGCACGCTTTGATCACACCCTAGAGACACCCAGACCCAAAGGCCTCCATCTAGAAAGGGAGTTACACTCTGCCTCTTCAGCACCACAGATCATCACGGCTTCATGGCGCCCCCCCACCTTGAAATAGTTTTAAAATTAATGTATTCTCTGAGCAGGCTCCACCTGGACAGACAGCTCGAAGTTGGTAGACACAGGCTTAGTGGCAGGTCTGTTCAGTAACCCAGAAGCCCTTAGGACTGCAGACTGAGAAAAGAAAATGATTCCATGACCAAACAAAGGTTAATTTAGAAATTGCCTAAGGGCACGGGTGATTTCCATAAGTCCCTGCCAGAGGGAACAGCAGCCACTTCAGCCGTTTGGCCTGGTGCCAGGCTGGAGCAAGAACCACCTGCAAAACTCAACATGGAGCCCCTTTCAGGGCCCGAGACTGCCAGGGAAGGGGGGCTCCCTCCCCGGCCCCACGGCGGCCCCTTCTGAAATCTCAGGCTTCAGCTCCCCACCAGCAATGGCCAGCCCTCTTGGCCCACTCTGCACACGGCGAGTCCACCCCTTCCCCAGAGTCCCTGAACGAGAACTGGAAAGCTCTCGGCCATTACTTCCCTCAGCCTGCAGACACCAGCCCTCCAGCGTGTTGCCCTCTGCCTGTGAGGTGAGGCTGCGGGCACAGACGGCACGATACAAGCCTTTGTTCCCGAGGACCGTCCCTCACACGGCGCAGACGTGACCGCGTGGGGTGCAGCGTGGTGGGAAGGTCGTCGGACCCGCAGTCATTTGCAACATGTGTCTTACAACCCGTGTGAGCAGCCACTGAGCACACATCGGCAGAGCCTTGGGGGAAGCCGCTGCCGGCCGGGCCCTGCAGCAGACTGTGCTCATCAACGATCGAGGTCTGCACACTTACCTCCAGGAGCCGGTGACACGCAGGTCCTGTTTCCATAGCACCTCCAGGCTGATCTCACACACGCCTCACTTGCCTTAAGTGGAAAGGAACCTTTGTAAACTGCTACACGTGTTCCACCGTGTTGGGGTTCTCACCCGCCAGGCCATCTGTTGGATTTCAGCTACACCACCAGGCTCAGAGCCGTGCAGACAGACGTGCTGATGGGGACAGGGGAGCTGCCGTGGCCTGAAGTTGCCGCACCACTTAAAGTGGTCGTGGAAGGAGCACCAGGAGGGTGGCGGGCTGTACCCCCGGCTCCACCTGTTTCTGGCCACCCTGAAAGAACTGCATGTAGCCAGGAGCCTTTTTGGAAATGACCATTTCAGGAAACTGGCTGGTGAGTTATTTCTCCACAGCCAGGCCAGAGACTCCTCCTTATCCCCTTCACCAAGTATATTTTTAGAAATGGGTTTTCTCTTAAAGTCAGGGCCTAACTTTGTACGCAGAGAACGAGTTTGCTGACCACCTAAACGCGGTCTACTCAGTGCCCGGGCTAAGTCACTCCGGCCCTCGGTTATACCTATTTGATGAGAGTGACAAAGGCCCTCACGGGCTAGTACTCAGCCCTGTCTGGAAGACAAATGGGCTCAGTGTTAAAGAAGACTGCAGCAGCGGGACACGCGCCTCCCTGCACACGGGAAAGACACTGGAGCTTCAAGAGGCCGAGAGCTGAGTGTGAGCCGGTCCCTCCGAGGTTTTCAGCCGCCTAGAAATTCCCGCAGCTGTGAAATTCCACAGAGTCTGAATGAAAAAGCGACGTGGGAAGAAATGGAAGGGCATCTGAGTGGTTGGTAAAGACCGGGCTGGCAGCGACGGTGCTTTTAGGATGCCTGGCACACATCTGCAGGCTCTGAGCACCCTGAATAACAAACTGCTCACTTGTATACAGGGTTTGACTGGAAATGTCGATGTAGAGGATTCCTAGACTGACTCGGGGCACTGCCCGGTGGGCTGCATCCCACTCCTGGGACAGGCTCCCACCCCTCCTTCCGTGGGATCCCTGTTAGTGCTTTCCCCCTTCTTCTAGATGGCCACTCTGGAACACGTGCTCAGGAATCGGTCAGACCTGACTCAGGTCCGATGTGGGTAAGCCTCGCGTTTTCACATGAAAAGTTAAAGAAGTGGCAGGATCCCCCAGGCCGCGGGGAGGGTGGAGTGCGACAGTGTGCACGGTGCTGGGCCTCTGTCAGGAACGCATTAACCCGGTGACGAGGGATGCTTATCGCGAGGTGAGCGACTGGTGGAGACAGGTACAGCACAGTTAATTAACGAGTCAGACACAGCCCTGGTCTCCTGGGAAATGAGGCCGGTGATGTTTAATTACTCCACTTGGAAGGGGCCACGGCACTCACAGAGGCAGTCTGGTTCTCCCCATTCGTTGAGAGGCAGTGAGAACTTGCTGGTTTATCAGGACACTCTCTGGCCAGTGCACATGGGCACCCTGTCAGCAGGGCTGGGGGAGGAAGGCCGGGCCGGGGGAGGAAGGCTGGGCCGGGGGAGGAAGGCCAGGCAGGTGGAGGAAGGCCTTCCAAGTGGAGGGAGTGGGCTTCCAGGGTGGGACATGTGCAGCACCTAGGACCGTGCCTGGCCCCCAGAAAGCACTGCATGGACGCTTGCTCTGGTCATTACCGACCTTTAGGGTTTCCACGAGAAGCTGGGTCCTGGTAGGAAGAACCTTACTTCACCCCCATCCTGGAGACAGGAACACTGAGGACAGGCAGACGGGTACGGCCAGCTGCCTGGGGTCTCACAGTCAGGCTGAGCACAGAGGGCAAGCGATGTGCTCAGAACCACACCACGAGGTAACCGAGCATCCTCTCAGTTCAGGGACTCTGTGACAGGCCACAGCCTCCGGGGCCTCATGTCAGGAAGTTTGCCCGTACCCAGCAAAATCTGCCTTGCTTTTACTTCCAGTCATTGGCCCCAGGCCTGCATTTTGGGGAGAGGGGGAAGAGGTCTGCTCCCCTCCTCTGTGGTTGCCTGGGAGACCCGAAGGCAGCTACCACATCCCACACCTGCCAGCCCAGAGCAGAGCACTCCTAGCCAGGGCTGCTAACCCAGAGAATGCAAATGAGTGATACCAAAGACGCGTTAGCTGGGCGCCATGGCGTCCAGGCCTCTAGGTCTGGTTGAATCTCCCTCTCGGACCAACCTGAAAGGTGCTGTTGTTGGTCCCATTTTAAAGATGAGGACCAGAAGCTGAAGGAGGGTAAAGGACTTGCCCCAAGGTCGCACTCTCGGTAAGCTGCAGCTTCAGCCTGACTCCAAATCCTAACGCCGCGGAAACGGAACGCCAGGAAAACAGGGGAAGAGCAAAGGGAGCCCCGCAGGCTGGGGGTGGGGGTCGCCCCCGGCCCCGCGGGAGGTCACACAGCCCCGGAGAGAGCAGATGATCCGTCAGCACCAGGGACAGCTCCTGGGCCGCTCCCGGGCAGCCCCCGACGACCGTGCG